GAACGTCTTCATGCTCAAACATCGAGAAACAACACTGAAATTATTGTATATCGAGGTCAAGGTTTATCAAATGATGACTTTAATAAGTTAAAAACAAGCAAAGGTGAACTTTTCTCGTGGAATAGATTCTTGTCGACAAGCATTGATCAACAAGTTTCATTGATGTATGCAGATAGTGCACGACAGAATCCTAACCTAACTGGTATATTATTTCAAATACGTATCGAATCTTCTCAACATTCAACTTCATTTACTATATTGGATAACATCAGCCGTTTTGGTGATCAAGAGCAAGAGGTCATTTTCACAATGCATACCCACACCAACACTATCTTTCAGTGTAAAGATAGTGTTGGTGTGGGTATCGATATGTAAGAGTGAATATGTTCTGTCTCGTGCATACAGACACACATTCATATCCACACCCATCCATTGAAATCGAAAAAGTACGTTCTGTGTTATGACATGTTAATTTTGACTGGAAAGATGCAACTGTTCGGTTAGAAACACTTGCAGTTGTCCATTTTCATTCTCTCTTCCAATTATTTCGTGTTCAATTAACTTTTTTAGTAATTTTCTGTTTCTTTTCAGTTGAATGGCTTGAATAAAATGTTCATCGTGAATATTTCGTTTATGTAAATCACTTCGCATGCCAATTAGGAATTCGATCAGCCGATGTCGACAACCGTTCACTTTAAGACAGACATAAAGTAATGGATCATTACCATGTTCATCCACTCGGTGAACTAATCTTGGGTTTAATCGGAATAATTTTTTGATCCATTTACATTCTTTCTTTTTTAATAGAATAAATAACAACGTCGTACTTGTTAGCCATGGTTCCAGCGATTTCTCGTCTAGAAAATGCTGAAATACTTGCCGCCGAGTTCGAGTTCCAACTATTGTATCAATCAGTTTGCGACAAGACTCTGATCGAGCAAGAAAATTTTGCATAAAGCCATTCTGTCGATAAACATATTCAATAATATCAATTCGATTGTTGATGATTAAATTCTTTAATCCTTCTTGTAACATATGATTCGAATAATCGTCCAATGGTGTTTCTTTTCGAGTCATTTCATGAAATAACATTTTTAATACTTCCATTTGACTGCACTGAATCAGAATCTTTTCATCTGCATCATTTTCAATCGAAGTAATCACATGTAAACTATTCAAAGGGCAATCCTTTGTCCACAGTTGTTCATCAGAAATCTGCTTTAGATATGCAACGGCAAAGAGTAATAATTCCAGTATCGTTTCATATTTTTGCATATTAATTGGCATTGATCTCGAAACATGATAGAAGCCTTGTAGTCGAAAGATTGCATAGATCAGAAAGAAATACATGGGAGCATCACCACTACCGACATAGTCTTTATTGTTGACTAGATTTGGATTGGAAATGATCAATGCTTTGAATAATCTCTGGATTGAATAAAGACACGATCGACTTGGATATCCAATGGTATAGAGATGAGCTAATAGACATTCATTAAGTGCTTTAGCCATATTGTACTCGCCCAGTTCATTATCAGCACATTCGAGACGAGCACCAGTACCAACAACAAGATCTTCGACTTGTTGAAGATATTTAAGATTAAGCGGACGTGATGCTAAATCATTGAAGGCTTTCTTCAATGCTGCATCTCGAGAGCGAATTTCTTCATCGATGAGATGAGCACGTATCAAGTCGAATTGCTCTCGATCAGACCGAAACTGTTCTTCAATTTCACGAGATTTTTCTTGAATATGAAAGCTAGCTAATTTTTGAAAACATCGATGAAGTTCATGTACGTGGTCATTGTCTTGTAACGAACATAATTGTTGTGATAACGCATGAAATAATGGAGTATCGTAATAATAATTGAAGGTGCTTTGTCGAATATTGATCCGTAAGAAATTAGTGAGGAGATGCAAACGCCGATCAACAAGAATTCGATTCAGACGTTGATTCAGACCAGAAAACGTACGAAAAATTGACGTAACATTGCCAGAATATCGGAAAATAATCATAAGAATATCATCGGACAATGTTTCGAAGGTAGACGACAATAACGCCATGTGCTTTGCCTATTGAATAGCAAATGATATGGATGCACGTTGTCGGTTATTTCACAATGTCTGTCTTGAGTCATTATTTTTTATTCGTTCTACAGCATTTTTTGTCATTCAACAGAACAGAAGTCTTTTTTGGGTTGAAACTAATGCCATAAATGTGTTTTTACTTTCGAATGTTAAGTTGATTAATAATATTTTGTTGATAAAAGTAGGCAAAACTAAATTTTTGGTCGAGATTACTTTCTTCAATATTTTATTTCGCTGGTAATTCACTTAGACAATATGAAATAATCTGATACAGATCAGTTTCTGTTGTCATCGTGGTAGCAACATGCAAGCAATCATATTGAAATACAATATTCTTTGTACGACCACTTACTTGATCGGTGAGATTCATATAAATTTGAGGTGAAGAAATTGCCATATGAAATAGAATAAAATAAAAGAATCTTCAAACAACGAATATCATAAGATTCTTTGACAGAGGGCAATATGAAGACTTCTATATCTTCTCTTTATGTATCTCTCTGTATCTCAGAAAACCTGATTTGCCATGTTTTTCTATCAAAAGTCATGTTCAATGTTGGTTAGAGAGGCGAGTTCCGTTTTATACGCGTCTGTGATATCAGATTGAATCACTACATGCCAGCAGCTCACATCTGGCATTATTTTGATCGGAACTAGTTTTTATAGAGCAACTGAACGCAGTGTTATATATATATATATATATATTTGGTTACGACAAATGTTTCGATAAATATTATATTTAACTCGCTTCGCTAGTTATTGACATTATTATCAGAATAACCACTACGTTAAAATGCATTGAAAATAGTTTTTTTAATGAGGTTTCTTCAATCTCAACTTAAAATTTGTTGGTTTTTTTGGCACTATTTCTTCTACGCGGTATCGATAGGTTCCGTTTTTGTTCGAATTTAACAAACTGTTGAAAATCACTTCTGATATACGAGCTGATCTGTTGCAACAGTTCTTTCCACAAGAACTGATATATTCGAACGGGTTCTTTGAAAAGACCTAAGTTGTTTGAATATTTAGCGGAAAGCATGGATCGATTGTTCACGGTCATCTGTAATGCCTTAGGGAGGGGTGTGGGTGTGGGTGTTGCGGAGAACAAGACACCTACATTCACACGCACACTCACACCATCAATATAAATAATATAAATATAAACAATTGTTCTTACTCGGAAAGGCCGCCAACTGTTCATTCGCCTTTGCGTTATGTAGTTCCCAAAGATTTATGAAAACTTTGAAAATATTTTGGGCAGATAGTTTATTGTAACGAAATAGTCCATTTATAAGCTACGAGTTTTATTGAGTGCCTGGAGTTCACCTTCAGGAACATTAGAAAAATTGATTTCCGAATTTCGACTTGAAATTTTACATAGAAAGATGCCCCAAGGAGAACAGCTATTCGTTAACGTTTCAAATCTTTCTAGTATTCCTATTACTAAACACTGCTATTGTGAAATTTGTATTTTATATCATTCAAATAAAGTAGCAGCTTCGATAAAACAAACACTCAAAAGGCCTAAAACTTTCAGAAAACACTACTTTTGTTGAGAAGTATTTCTATGTAAAGTTTTGAAGTTGAAATTCGAAAATTAATTGTTTTTTTAATGTTCCTGGGAGAGGAGTACGGCAATCATCAAAAACATATATTACAAATGGACTATTTTCGTAATAGTAAGCGCTCCGCCCAAAATATTTCCAGTGTATTCATAACTCTTTGGGAATCACATAACACAAATGCGATTGAACAGCTGGTAGCCTTCCCTCGTAAGTGTAATTAATAATAAATGATAAATAGTTAGTTAAATATGTTTAAATCAACGAATTGATGATAACATTTACTATTTCAAAACATAGAAGTTTAATATTAAGTTGAACCTATTCTGTTTGTGTGTATACAAAATATGCTTAAATTATTTCATTAGATGTATTAATTTATCAATTTATTATAGGAAATTCCATTGAAGTAGCAAGGCATTTTGTTATTGATGGCGATGGTTATTTTTTATTATTTCAAATAAAATTATGAAAGAATAAGAATAGTCTCTATTTATTTTATTGATATGATTTTTGTTTTTATATTAATTGATAATGAAATCCGAGATAAAAAAGAAACTATTTAGTAGAAAAATATCTAGTAAAGTTTTAATAAAATAAAACAAACCTATGTCAATTGAATATATTTGTTTGACATGTCTCAGCAGAGAAAAACAAAATTTTTTTGACATAAATTTTAAATATATTGATTATACAGTGGGAAAATGTTAAATAAAGAAAGAAAATGGCTTAATTATGTGCAATTTACATAAAAAATCATTATTTATATGATGAATTTCTAACTCATAACTGAACAGGTTACATATATTTTGTTTGTCACTTCAAAATTTAATTTGCTTTAATACAGTAAATTTAATAGAATTTTTTGAAATTTTTCGTTTTTCATTAACTTTTATTATTCAATAAATGAAGACGAAGTATAGTAAAAAAGAAAATTATTTCTTTTTTTGTATTTTATTGTTTTATTATTCTATTTCTAGATAAAATATTAATCATATGAATATTATTTCGAACTTTTTAATACATGGTGGAAATTTCGAAAAAGCTTTACACAAATGTGATTGGAATGAATGACAATCAATATGTTGAGATTTTACAGATGTCATTAATAATTTACTTTTTGCATATAATAAATATATATTATTAAGATTATTCAATACATCTTTACATTTTTTTTTCTTTTCCATGCCGAACACAATATTCACCACATCTACGTAATTCATCTGGATTAAATGGAACTTTAACAAAATTTTCACTCATTAATGATGTTTGATTAATTGCAATAGTTGATGATTTAGTTGGTTCAATTAATTCTTTTGTAGTTGATGTTTGTTTTGTTGTTGATGAGTGAAGAAAAAGTGTTGGAAAAACATTACAAATTTTTTTTAACTTGTTGACAAACAAGTTGTTCTGGTGTGGTGATTTTTTGACATTTTTTAATTAATTCAAAAAAGTTTGATTTCAATTTTAAAGAATCACTATGCAATGGGTTTCGTTGAAATTTATCACGATGTTGACCATATCAATAGGATCACATTTATTTATACAATATAAACTAAACATATATATTAAATCAAGTAAACACATTTGTGATATAGTCACATATTGGATTTCCTCACCCTGATCATTATTCATGTGTATATTGGAATTTTCCAAGTTTCGTTTTTCCTTTCTTTATATGTATTTTCTCATTTCACGTTGGAGGTTTCCCATTCCACTGCATATGTATATATGTGTGATCGCACGAACTATGTGTGTTGTTCTCCTTCAGATTCTGTTCCTTCGTATAACTGAGTTTCTGTCTCTGCTGTATTCATTCATCACATATAGATAAACTAGAGAAGTTCACCTAACTTCTAACCTTCTATTATAAGTACAATACGTGACAACATTCTTTAACAAATAAATTATCATTTTTCTTCTTCTATGTTGTCTATTCTTTTTTCATAAGTTCTTTAATATTATTCTTTTATTATATTATCTTTTGAAAAGTTAAATAATTTAAGAATTTTTTTCTACAATAAGATTAAAAAATATTAATTCGTCATTTGATTTTAAATTAATAAATATGTATTGAAATAAATGAATTCTTCCTAAACTATATCTATCTTGTTTTATTTAGTTTAATTTAATAAAATAATCTTTGACATTTATATGATTATAATCAATAACGAAACAAGTATTAACTATTCTTAAAAATCATTTATTAATAAAAATAATTGTGCAATTATTCTTTAGATTTTTATAGTTAATTAATAAAGAGATGCATAAAAGAATAATTTATGGTGTGGGTGTGGGTTTGGATGAAGTTACGATGAAACCACACCCACATCCAAACCCACACACACCCTGCCAATAAAATGAAAAAAAATTTCTTTATTTTAAAAAGATTCTTTTGAAAAACGTTTCTCTATTTAGAATTTTGATGTGTATTTCATTTAATTAATGTGCATTCAATGTTACAAGAATAACACACAAAAATAATCTCAGATATTAATTAGTAACTTTCATTTTTCCTAGCGCACACTAATTGTTTCTTTTTATAGCAAAATAGGAATTCTCACTTTGACATTGTAATAGATTGTAATATAATAAGGTTAACACAAAAAGCATGAATTTATTCTATTCTAATTTTTAGAACTATAGTCACTATTAATACTTTGAGTTTTATTAAACTGTATAATAGAATGTTAACATGAATAATAATAATAATTGCTTCATTATCATTAATAGATCCTATAATAAAAGTGAACTTATTGGTTATAATGTTGGAAAATATGATTTCAAATACACCAAAAGGATCATATGTATCATAAAATTTGTTTCATTGAACTTAATTTAATACTCATGGCAACTATCATCCAGTGATGATGATAACTCTACATGAGATTTTTTTTTCGAATAGCAAAATCTCTTTGATATAGTGAAACACAAGAATTCGTATTAGAAAAACAAACATAACATTAAATTAATTTATTTTCATGTATTTCATTTTGTTTTATTGAATGCCATGATGTTTTTAAAGCTAATTGGAGTCGAGTAAAAAGAATCACTTTCATCAAATCAATATGAATTTTCTTCTAAAAAAGACGAACATATTGAAGGATGCATCATAGAATACCCAATACATATGATTTGACCAGACAATGTTGAAGATTTGCGAAAAAAGAAAATCAATTTCTTTTTAGTTTCATGAACGAAATTATACGGTGTTAAATGTGGAATTCTGAAGAATATTGATGAAATAAATTAGAAAAGATGATGCATAAAAAAACTTGACAATAACATAGGGTAATTTAATAATAAAATAAGATAAAAACAAATAATTGCTAATAGAAGTTTATAATGTTCTCCATTATTAGGCGATTGACAAGTTAAATATGTTTAAAAATAAATTTTGATTGTACTACATGA